TGTCCAACCACAACGCGCCCGCAGTCTACTGCCTTGCATACTTAATAATTCGGCCTCCGTTAATCTCTTTGTATGCTGCCTTTCGATGACGTGCGATCTGCGAAATCAAGCAGGTTAAATTTACACTTAACTACTGCTGGGGATTTGTGTTCTTTTTGGGACTACTGCTAGGTTCCGGTATTTTAGGTCGACCGCAGTAACAAGCTTCCCTTGAACTGTTCACAGATAGCTTACTTTTTTCTGCTACTTACGCAAGCCCTTCCACCTTCGAAAGGAGGAATATGCTATATGTAGATAATGTCGGTTTAGTTGTCAGAAAACAACTAGAGCTGCTCAAGTAGGAGTTGTCTGCACTTAAAGTCGTGCCCACTGACCTTCCGGTGTTGGTCCTATCGGGGCGGACCCCATTTCCGCATCGTATTAACTACCTTTTGACAAACTTGACTGGCCCTTACCACATCATCATCCTCGGTAAGCTGCCTCACATTTGTAGGCTCAGGCTGTTGACCAGTATGCTTGTCAGACAATTGCTCATTTACATCTAATGGAGGCAAGTGAAACGTTGCTTGAGACGAGCCTCTTTTTAAATTCACCTCAACTTCAACACAGTTTCCGTTTTTTCCATTGTGTGCACATGATACTACAGTTCAAATCTCACTACTTGTTGCCCGTTGTCCATTCCTAAAAGTCTCCCACCTCTTTTGTAATAGCCGACAGCTTAACCAACAATAACGCAGTTTAAAAGATTGTTCATATTTGTTTAGTAGCCGAACTGGACTGAACATGCCGTTATCTAATCGTCTTGTAGGTTAAGGCTTCGCCCGAAGCTGTTGCCAAGTTCAGCGAAGCACTAACCAGTCTCGGGGACGTTTATATCAATGACGCTTTTGGTACCGCTCACCGTGCACACGCGTACGTTTTAAACAACTTAAATCCCCCAAAAAAACCGAAGACAAGATGCAAATTAATTTATCTCTTCCTTTACACACAACAGTTCCATGGTTGGGTGTAAACTCCCAATTCGCGCTGCTGGCTTCCTGATGAGCAAAGAATTGGAATATTTTGCGAAGGCCCTTGATAATCCTGTGCGACCATTTTTGGCCATTCTTGGAGGGTAAGTTCTCTGTCAGGTCATTTCTAACTTGTTACACAGTAAGGCTGTTTTGTCCCATTTGTCTCTCGATTTAACAATTAACCTTTTAGAGCCTTAGGATTACTAAAACTTCCA